ACTCAAAAAAACCATTCTCAACAATTAGCCAGATAAACCGTAAAATTTCCACACTTCCATTTATTACCCGATAAATGCAAAGCCTGATACCCATCAGACTACCATTCCAGACTGCTTTACAACCTTAGCGCTCAATCAGAAAACGTTATCACCACTTGTACGAAAATGTCAGCATGCTTTAGTGAACGGATTCGCAAACACGTCAGAGGTGTGATAGCAATACGTCAATCTTATCAGAAGTTCTATTTACATTAACACTGTCAATCTCTCCGAAACTGCGATCAAACGGCTTGCGCTGAAGATAAGCAAGATTTATGTTCCGACTGTTTGGACTACCAAGTGACTGCATCATCACTGCATATACTGACACCTGTACCGTCTGCTCTTAGTAAATTTGTTCAGACCCACAAAATATCACTGCGGCGCACTATTAATTTCGTAGTATACAGGGCAAAGACCGATGACGCAATGTACTGATAGTAGTATCACCTGGCAACACACACGCACTCTGGAACCAGATGATTGAAAAAGTGACAAGATGAATCACTAGAAAAACGCTGGATTAACATTCCTCAGATTTCTGTTACGAAGGCGTACGTGTAGACGCACAAAAGCAGAATTTTTCCAAACAAGAAAACCAAAGAAATTTGAGCTGAGCATATCTATCAGACACGAAAAGCCAATATCAAAAATCTTATGAGATACTGCATGTTGCTTAGGGCTCAAAAATGAGCCGAAAAACAATTAATGAGAAAATCTCGCAAATGTCGAAAAGTAGATATCGCTGCTAACAAATTACCAATTATTACTGAGATTCTGGGGTATCTTGATTGCGAAAAGGGATTTGGCTACAAATTTTCCGCACTTTGCGTAAGTTACGGCATTCTCTTCAAAAACTGAGCAGAAACCCCCTTGGCCTCCGGAGACGACTGAAACTCACTCTCACTCTGTTTCGCATAATAAAATACGCATTCTAACTATAACTGCCAAAACAGCGGAAATGAACAATCAAGTTAAGCCAAGAAAGATATGAATTTGCCAGATTAAGTGAAAATATTAGTAAATACTCACAATTTTACTCCATTTCGTGCTGCTGTCTGGAAACGACGGACGTCATCAAAATCTCTGTTCACTGGCCCTGACAATGTGAGAATATGTCAAATCTTAAATCATATCCCGAAAACATATACATCAAAAGCTTAGCAGTAAACCATTACCATAACTGAAAGATCATACCTGTACCGGCAAGAATAAGCCGGCCGGAAGGGATTACCCGCTTGTCAACTGGGACTATGTTCGACGATGAAAGCGCTCCTCGATGGACCTATATAACAGCGATAAACAAACATTTGATTCTAACTATACAAAGATCAAACCTCAATGAAATCTAGAACAGCTTCTGAGACTCCCTTCAGCACTGGAGTTTCGGCCACAAGTTTTGCGCAGTTTGTCACCAAAATGACTCCATCGTATACTGAATCGCTGAGCGATACAGCTCGAAGCAGTCTCGTTGACAGGAGCGACTCCAGAGACATCGGGGTCTGCAATGGAAATGAACTGTAACTCAGAAGATTATTCTAAAACAGTGGAAAATTCAAAGCGACAAGCTCAAAAAACGTCTGTTGGGTGTTCTACACAAACTTCAATTGACAAAGGCATGCCCGCAATTGCTGTTAAGCCAACAGCGAATTCGTGCCAAAATCGCAGACAGCTCATTTCATATTCTATTCTGCTTTCCTCTTTTCCGCTTCCTACTCGTTTCCGCTGCTTTTCAAGCGATAAAAACCAATACGAGGAAATCTTCCAATAGAATTCTTTCCAAGCTTTCTACGGTAGTTTTCTGCTTTATATAGTGTACTATATCTACAAAGTCTGTTCGCACTACAGGTGAAATGCGGTCAAATCTGCGCGTGAACAAATAGCTGCGCTAGTAACGCCGG